TTATTTATTTATAGAGAGAGGGGAAAGGAGGGAGGAAGAGAGGGAGAGAAATATCAATGTGTGGCTGCACATCCCCTACTGGGGACCTGGCCTGCAATCCAGGCCTGTGCCCTGACTGGGAATCGAACTGGGAACCTTTTGGTTTGGAGGCCTGCACTCAATCCACACCAGCCAGTTCTGCTTTCCACTTTTTTGATGCTCACTTAAACTTCTTCTTGAAATTCTTATATTTAATCATATTTGAAATTTGTTATTTTAAAGTAAGGGCATGGAGAATTTATGGTTATGTTGAGGTTAATTCAATACAGCAACTTTTCCTCTCACTCTCAAATTTCCTGTAGAATGGATTGACAAGTACATTGACTGTCCCCACTCTCCACTTTCCTGTCCATTGCAGTCATTGCTAATTTATAATTTGCACTTTATTCTTGAGCTTTTCAGTCTTACTTTATAGGTCATCATTATCACTATAACCTGAGTCAGCATGGCAGATGAAGTATCTCAGTATCCTCTTTCATCAATTTTTTTTAACCCTAAGAACATGCACAGTTCATCGTCAGGGGTTTACCTTCTAAATTACTCTGGATCTTAATTCAGCCTCCAAACTCTTGGATAGGTAGCTGGGCTTGACTCTCCCAGCCTCAGGACTGGCTGAGTCAGTCTATCTCCAGTCCTGGCTAAGAATGATTCTCTGGACGAAGAACTTCCTGGCCTCCTCTTGTTCTCAGTCTATTTGGGGGGGCACTTACCCCTTTTTCTTCCAATGTGCTCAGTTGCTAAGTTTCTTTTTTTAAGCTCAGCCTGTTACCTTGTATGTCACTTATGTATGGTAATTATGTTCCTTCACATAAGAGGTCTTTCTCTCATTTAATTGACTTTTTAATTTCAGACTAAGGATCGCTAACTTGATTTCCATGAAACAGATTAACTCCTTTTTGGGAACTTTTATTCTCATAGAAAAAGTTTCAGAAACAGGAAATCAAGGTCTCAAAATTTCAGAGCTTGAGGGCTTGAAGGGCCCTTGGAGAGTTAGCCCGATGTACTCGGGCCCAGTGGTGGCAGCGGGGAGAGGTTGACTGAGTCACCCACAGTGTCAAGTTCAGGTCCTGTCAGCACCTAAAATAATAAAGAGTAAAGGAATTGTTTTTACTGCAATGAAAATTAGTCACAATAAAGAGGAAGGAAAGAGCTTTTGGCCATGACTCTAGAGACAGAGTTAACATTATTAGTTAACATTCCCTGAGTGAATCCCTGAATGAACGGCACTGTGCCACAATCCTCCTATTGACACCTCATTTCATTGTCACATTTGGGGGTAGATATGACTGTTATTAGACCAGTTTTACAACAGAAGAAATCAACACTTCAGAGGTTTAAAAACTGTGTGTACATGTTTATGTGGATAAAGTGCCCGAGCCAGCTTTGGAACCCAACTCTCTCATTTTAAACACTTTATTTCAGTACGAGGACTAGTCTGTCTGTGAGAGGTTTTACTCCCAGTGAAGGGTCCCCTCAAGCAGAGGGCTGCCCACCAAAGCAAAGGAAATCTTCCTGGACTCAGAGCAGGGAAACCTCCAAGGAAACTGAGGAAGGGGCCTGTGAATAAGACTCTGGCGATGGGTACTGGGTCCCTTTCCCCATCTCTCCAGAGAACAATTAGCACTTAGACATTCTGCTCTAATGATGGCTGGGCTCTTCCTTTGGACCCAGGAGTGAGTGAGGGGCAATCAAGTGGAGGAAGAGTGTGGGTATTCCTGTCCATTAAAATAATGAACTCCCAAAGGCCACTTTGAAGGCTTGGTAATAGAGGCGCAGGGATTCTGAGAGGAGCTATTACTACGTGCATGAGGTCAAAATATAACAAGTGACCCAGAAACCAGGCATGGAGTGGTGGGAAATGCAGGTGAATTGATGTATGCAAAAGATGTTATTGGACCAAAGAAACCAATAATTCTTCTCCTGTGTCGGGAGATCTCAGGACTCTTCTACCTGAAGGAATTCAGTAAGTCCCAGCTCCTTCCTCCCACCTCGTTCATCCAACAAATGACAACCATGCAGTTACAGCCTATTTCATGTTTTACCTATAAAAGAGGCAGAGTAACTCTGCCCACCTCCAGGGAGGATGAAATGAATCGATATAAATCCAGTCCTCAGAACAGTGTCTGGTACTCAAAAGCCCTAAATAGGTGGTTGTGATTCTATCATATATTATATTATTTATTATTATAATTGAGCACCCATTATAAGCCAAACACTCTGCTAAGGTCTGTGGATAAGGAGTGAAAAAATTCATTTATTCAACAAATATTTTCTGTGCCTTTGTCCCAGGCACAGTGCTAGGGACTCAGGAGTGGTCAATAAACAGAACAGGCAAAGCCCCCTGCCTGCCTCTGAGTAGTTTGCACTCTGGTGGGGAAGAGTCCATTAAGGTAGGAAACACCCGCCCCATGCTATTTCCTCTTGGGTAGGGTGAATGGACTAATGTCATAGTTATGTCATAATGTCATAGTCGTTTCCGCTCTTCCTGGTTTTGGCTGCCCAGGCGGTGGTGATTGGGGAGAGATTTAACATTTTTAGAAAACACGAAGCTAAGGGCAATATTTATTTGAACAACGTTACTAAGATAACTTTAACATATAGAAATTGTATATGTGTGCGGTGTACAAAGTAATGTTTTTACACACATACATATGCCATGGAAAGATCATCACAATAAAGCTAAACAACTTATGCATCACCTCTACTTAGTCAGTCTCATGCATGTGTGTGTAACATGTGCGTGTGGTGAGGAGATTTAGTTTAAGATGTATCCTCTTAAAAAACTCCTAGCATACAATGCAGTAATATTAACTATTGGCACCGTGCTGTCCATTAGATCTCCAAAGCTTATTTATTCTGAATAACTGAACCTTTGTATCCTGTAACCAATGTCTCTCCATCCCCCTAACCCACCCTCAGCCCTGGGCAACCAACATTCTACTCTCTACTTTTATGAATTTGACTCTTATTTTAGATTTCACATGTAAGTGAGATCATGCAGAACTTGTCTTTCTGCATCTGACTTACTTCACTTTGCATGATGTCCTCCAGGTTCATCCATGCTAATGTAAATGAAAAGATTCCCTTCTTTTTTATTTTTTCATTAAACAAAACTTTATTAAATGTTTTCTATGTGCCAGGCACCAAGCCAGACACTGTTGGTACAAAAATTGAGGGAAAAAAGATTTCCTTCTTTTTTATGTCTGAATAATAATCTATCTATCATCTGTCTATCTGTCTGTCTGTCTCTCTCGCATTTTCTTTGTCTATTCATCATTCTATGGACATTTAGGTTGTTTTCATATGTAAATAATGCAATAAACGTCAGTGTGCTTTGAAAGACTATTTCATTTCCTTTGGATATTTACCCATATGATTGCTGGGCTATTTGGTAATTTGTTTTTAATTTTCTGAGGAAACTTCATACTGTTTTCCATGATGGCTGTACCAATTTACATTTCCACCAACGGTGCCCAAGGGTTTTTTTTCTCTTGTCTACATCTTTGCCCACACTTACCTTTTGTCTTTTTAACTATAACCATCCTGAAAAGTGTGAAGTGTTATCTCATGGTTTTGATTTGCATTTTCTTGATGGTTAGTGATCTTGACACCCCTTTGTGTAGAAGAGATTTTAATATGAAGAATGACCGAGAAACACCATTGGATAATTGCAAATGGTTGCAAACACACACAAACAATCAAATTCCATAAAATAGGAAAATTACAGTGGCTTTATTTTTACCATTGAGTCTTCCCCAGGGTGCATCTGCCTTTTTATAGCCATTTATATTTTTATTTTTCCACTTTGATCTTACATCATCAGTACCAGCCTGTCTTTTTTAATGCAAAATGTGTCTAGGCTTACCTCATGTGTTAAAAATAATAATCTGGTCTGGTCTGATGATATCAGAGTTGTTTCTTACCTATTTTTTTCTATTTATTTCTAATTTTTAAAATTGTATTGACTTTACTGGGGTGACACTGGTTAACAAAATTATATAGGTTTCAGGTGTACAATTCTAGAGTACACCATCTGTATATCATATTGCGTGTTCACTACCACAAGATCTCCTGCCTATTTTTAGATAGTATTCTTAAGAATTTAATGAATCCTCCCCGTTTTTTCTTGCTCAGGAAATACTGATTTCTGCTGTTCTAGACCACCATGGCTGACCCAGTTTCAGTGAACTTTGGTGTTGCTTCTCTTCTCCTCCCATGGAGGTATGTCCCTAGCCCTTCTATCCCATGGTGGTGCTGATGGGCTTAGTCTAAATTTTGATCTTTTCAATGCAGTGAGTTGTCATATAATTAGGAAAAAAGTCTAGTTCTAAACATATACATTTCTCTAGGTTTTACTACCTAAAGTGGTGGATTGTTTTACTATGAGTTGAAATTCCTTTCTCAGAATGGAATATGTCAAATAATATAGCTTTTTGTATTTAGCTCTTATTTTAGATTCTCATGCTTAAGATATATTAGCAGAAGAAATTCTTAACTTTATTGTTAATCTGGGTTTATCTTCAAGTCAACAAGTGTAAAAAGTCATAAGAAACCCAAGTCCAAGGGAACCTTGAGACTCCTCTGATTTAACCCCTTCATTTTTCAGTTGAGAAAACGAGGATCCAATGAGTTGAAGTGACTTTTCCACTGTCCCTAGAAAATTAGCAATGGAATGTGGATAAAACTCGGATTCCTGGCTCCCCATTGCTCTCTACTCTATTAGACTGATTCTTCTCTGCTCATCCGGATATATAATGTACAGGTTTAAAATAGTCCCACGAGATTATCACAGACCAACTCCCTCTGAGAAGACTTTGCCTAGCAGGTGCCTGGAACAACAGTTACTTTGGGGTTGCCTGCTCATATAATCTTCCAGGAAATATCCTCTCACACAGCAGCAAACAAAATCTAACTGATCACAGGAAGTAATCAGTTCTTTCCTTTATGCAGGAGTCAGGTCTATGGCCATAGGAAGAAATAACACAACCGTGACAAAATTTATCCTCCTAGGATTTTCGGATCATCCTCAAATGAAGATTTTCCTTTTTGTGTTATTTCTTGGGATTTACCTCCTGACCCTAGCCTGGAACCTGAGCCTCATTGCTCTCATCAGGATAGATTCCCACCTCCACACGCCCATGTACTTCTTCCTCAGTCACCTGTCCTTCCTAGATCTCTGCTATGTGTCTTCCACAATTCCCAAGATGCTGTCTGACATCATCACAGAGCAGCAAACCATTTCCTTTGTTGGCTGTGCCACACAGTACTTCATTTTCTGTGGAATGGGGCTGACAGAATGCTTCCTTTTGGCAGCCATGGCATATGACCGGTATGCTGCCATCTGCAACCCCTTGCTCTACACAGCCCTCATATCCTACACACTCTGTTTGAAGATGGTGGCAGGGGCCTATGTTGGTGGATTCCTTTGCTCTTTCATTGAAACGTACTCTATCTATCAGCATGATTTTTGTGGGCCCAACTTGATCAACCACTTCTTCTGTGACCTTCCCCCAGTCTTGGTTCTGTCATGCTCTGATACCTTCACCAGCCAGGTGCTGACCTTCATTGTGGGTGTAGTTGCTGGAGTGGTGTCTGTCCTTGTGATCCTCATCTCTTATGGTAACATTGTTGCTGCTGTCCTGAAGACCAGTGCTGTCAAAGGCAGGACCAAGGCCTTCCGCACCTGTGCTTCTCACCTGACTGCTGTGACCCTCTTCTACGGTTCTGGTTTCTTCATGTACATGCGACCCCGTTCCAGCTACTCCCTAAACCAGGACAAGGTGGTGTCCATATTCTATGCTCTGGTGATCCCTATGGCCAACCCCATCATCTATAGTCTTAGAAATAAGGAGATTAAAGATGCCGTAAGGAGAGCTGTGGAAAGGTATTGCATGCTTTCTCACAGGCATACATTTTTCTGACTCTGATTTAATGATTACAATAAAGTATGAGCTAGATCGGTTGTGCAGACTTTCAAGTGGTTTTGGACTAGTCAATCTACCCAATAATTTTTTTCTGGCCAGACTTTTTCCAGTATTCCCCTAACCAGTTTACCTATTGGTTATTGGAAAACAACTTGGCCACTTTTGGTTTCTAGAACAAACTGCATAGATTGAAGATGATAAATGATCAATTTAGCACACAGCTTTACCATGGCAAAGACTGAACAACCTAAACATTAAAATAGAGTTTGTGTCTGTAGGAGAAAAACATTGGAAAAATGTTAGTCCAGCATTCAGGGTGGTGATTCTTAAGGTAAGACAAGGATACATAGCGTGATAACCTGAAGAGGGAGACACTTTTTCTGAAACAGCTGCCTTCCTCTCTCACGAGGTTCTAGTTTGCTTCTCTTAGAGCACATGAGCAGGCAGCTTCCCCACATTGAGAATCGTGGCAGTCAGGAGTCTGCTGACTCATAGGGTACTGGCTTTTTAGCTGTATTAGCAGGACAGAGATGGAAAATTTCTGATTAAGGCCTTCATGACCAAACAAATAGGACAACCTCATGGCTAATTCAATCAACTCTACAAAAAGTGGTCTCTGTAATGATTTGAACAAAACCAGGGAATCATCATTTAAGTCCAAAGGAACAGCTTTCTAAAAGCACTCAATAGTTTCCTAGAGAGCTAGAGAGGAGGAACACACCTTCACTTGGGGTGAAAGGTTCTGTTTCCACCAGTTTTGTGGTAAGTGCTAGAAGAGAACTTAGTGAAGGAATTTAAAGGTGTGACTTTTCTCAAAAGTTGTGTGTCTTAAAAGCCTCAGTAGAAATCTGGAATACATTGATTCAGATGTGGCTTCTCTTAGGTACGTCATAAATAAGTGAATAAGTACCTGCCTATAAGTCCTTGGGAAAGTTATTTGGGGTTTGTGTGCCTGAGTTCTTCATGTAAAATACGAATAATATAGGCTTATTGTGAAGAATTAAATAAGTCAGTATATGTAAACACTTAGAATAGTGGTTTGTGTATATAGCAAATGCTAAAGAAGTGATATTATTATTATTATTATTTAATGATTCATCACCACAGAGCCAAAGAGATAGAAAACACTTCCTTAGTTTGATAGAGAATGTGACCTTCGTAATGGCTTTCATGCATTGGAAAATGAATGTGCAGACTACAGAAAAGAGTGGTTAAGAGTTCACTGTGCTCTCAAGTCATGAGACCTGTGATTATTCATCTCATTGCTGCCATGTTGCAGACGCGTGAACTTATGTAAATTATTTACAAGGGCTGTTTTCCTCACCTGGAAAGGGAGAATAAATATTGTGTCTACCTCATAGAACTCATACAATTAAATGAGAATATGCATGAAAAGGGCCTTAGCTTATTGTCTGGTATTAGTTAATTTTGAATAAATCAAGAGAAATCCAGGTTAATGCACCGAGAGACAAATTAAGTAGCTTTGGACTGTCAACTCAAACTGAGATGTAGTCATCTCAGTAAAAAGCATACCTGTACTTCTCACCTGTGCTACTTCCTTTGCACATAGGAAGCAGTCCTTAGGGGAATAGAAAGAACTCAAGTGCAAAGGAAGTGGCCTCACACGGACATGCTACCGTTTTGCCAACTCTATCAGCTACCTGGACACCTTGTTCTTTTCCTTACAGCCATTTTTTCTCTTTACTCATCTTTATCCATACTCCAGTTCACTGAAGTCCTATCCTTCAATTTACCTTTGGTAGTTAATTTTAAATTCTCCTACTGCCAAAAGTCATTGGAACAAAACAAAGCAATATATAAAATCAGTCATCACTGATGTATTATCATTTCCATTTTTTTGATGAACAAAGATTCTGAATATAAGATCTTTATAAAAATTTTTCTTGTTTGGTAATATATATGTTTGCCAGTAATGAAATTTTTTTTGCATTGAGAAGATATAACATACTTTTGCAGTTTGCCCAACTACCAATAAGAAAGTAACACATATTTATTAATAATCACTGAATTTAATGCGTAAGATGGGCATTCATCATGAGGCTAGAATAAATAAAAAATGATGTGGAGTTTATAGTAAGCCACATGTTAAAACTGCCCAAATAAGTGCATTTATTATGAGGCATACAAAGAGATACACAGTAAGCAGACTGTCTTTGGCACTGAAAGAATCAGGTGTTTTACAGATATCTGAAGCCAGACAGGGTACAGCTGTACATCCAGGCAGGGTTAGCGAACTGGAGATGAATTCACTTTAGTAAAATTACCACAGCCCAGGGCGTGGTGCTTGTCTTTGCAGCCTCTGAAAATGACTTCCAGATGGGCTGAAGTTTCCAAGCTCAGAATAGCCAGCTCCATGTGCCAGGATGCCACTTTTAGTGTTCAGTGGGGAACAAAACTGCCAAGCCTGAACCTGTGGCACAGTCCTCTGTTTTGCTGAGGAAACCTCATAGAGGACAAATTGCAATTTAAAGTCTATTTGGAGAGAAGGGAATCAAAGCAGAGTGGATAATGTGTATTAGTACTCAGTGCAGCCAACTACAGAGCCCACACCAGCTGAGGCTGGGAGCAGCCAGTTTTTTCTCCCGGGCATTCATGGTCTACTCTGTGACTGTCTTCCCCTCTAATCACTGTATTATTTGCAGATTCACAGATTTTCCTTCTTTTGGTCTAGAAAATATTTTGTCTTCAAAACACCTCTGTCATATATTTCATTTATCTATCATGGTCTGGTTTTGTAGTTTAATTTTTGAAGGTTTTTTTCCTGTATTTATTTATTTATTATTTTTTAAATCATTTTTCAAGTACAGTATTCTGTCTTTTACTCCCATCCAAGGTCACCCCCCAGTGCTCCCCACCTCTCTCCCATTTCCACCCCCCTTAGTTGTTGTCCATGTGTCCTTTATACTAGTTTCTGTAAATCCTTCCCCTTTTACCCCTGAAATTCCCTTCCCTCTCCCCTCTGGTCACTGTTCCCCTGTTCTCTATTTCAGTGCCATTGGTTTTATTTTGCTTGCTTGTTTGTTTTGTTGTTTAGCTTCCTCTTAAAGGTGAGATCATATGGTATTTGTCTTTCACCACCTGGCTTATTTCACTCAGCATAATGCTTTCCAGTTCCATCCAAGCTGTTGCAAAGGGTAGTAGCTCCTTCTTTCTTTCTGCTGTATAGAATTCCATTGTGTATATGTACCACAATTTTTTGATCCATTCATTTACCGATGGGCACCTAGGTTGCTTCCAGCTCTCAGCTATTGTAAATTGTGCTGCTATGAACATTGGGGTGCATAGGTTCTTTTGGATTGGTGTTTTAGGAGTTTTTAAAAAACTTGTTATTGTTCATATGTACCACCTACAGTCCCCTAATTTTGGGGATAGGTACCTATGTTTATACACACACTTACTCACATACTCATGAATTAGAGACTGGTACATTACATGGGCTCTGATGAGATTTTTAACTTTTTCCCAAAGATTAATAGTTTCATGTTTTCAGTCTTACACCTAGATAGACTTAGAGCTTGACCATTCTGTGATCATTCACACAAATGAAGAAACACTTTCGTTTGTTTCACTTCCTTGCATCCAGATAAGTGATTTGGGTCTTCCTCACCTGCATTTGAGCAGGAAGAGCCTGACCATTTTGCATATAAAGATATAGACCATGAATCCCCATATTCTCCCATCAACTTGATCTACTATGACCTTCCCTGAACATCTAAATAACTGGGGCAAGGTAAACTAACTGTTTGTGTGTGACTTTTCTCTTTTGATTCCACCCTTACTCTTCTCATGCTTCTCTCTCCCCTTCTCCTCATACGCTGACAGCCTATGTATGATTCCGCTTACAGATCTGGCAGAAGCAAAATTCCCCTCTTACCTACAAGTAAAGAGATTGCCATAGCAGGCTCTTGCAATCATGGCTTGGGCCAGTTATAAACTAGGTGTGGCACATAATAAAAGAATTTAGGGAGTGTTATTTTGTGAATTGCTTTGAAAAGAAAAAAAAAGCCAGAACTGAAGCACCAAAGGCTTAGTCTTCTTTGGTGTTGGGCTACAAAACAAAAATTGCTTCTCTTTTTTGCATATTTAGGGAAAGAAGATAGCAAGTGGGGTAGAGGGAGGTAAAAAGGTTCTTTCTTAGCTTGGGGAGATTGAATATAATATTTACTTTTTCAGAGTTTCCTACACACTTTGCCCAGTTCTACCTGTTTTCCTCCTTGTCTCTCCCCTTCTTCTTACAATTATTTTCTCCTCTCATTTTCCCCTCCCATCTTGTAATCCTTTAATCCATGTAGTTGGAGCCTTGGGGAAAAAAAGAGAGATATTTATATTTCTTCTTTCCTAGTCTAAATTTCTTTAAGGTATTTCTGAACATGATCCATCCATGAAACTCCATCTAAAAGTAAAAAACCAAAAAACGATGACAGAACAAATTGGCCAGAATAAGAAGGTAGAGTTGAGACTCCCTGATGGCAGAGAGTCTGACTCAGCATTGTTGGAGGTATTTGCTACTTCCTGGTGTTTTTCCCAGACTGGGGTCTCTGGTGATTGTTCCTATGCTTTGGTGACATAATTTATGTTTAGATAACATGGTTGGAAGGTTGATATCCCTCCACTGGCCTCATGATTCTTACAGGGTAAAAGGAGGATTCCTTGACATCACGGTGTCTCAAAAGATTAATACCATAAAGGGATATCTTGGAGCCTAAGTAAGAGACCAAGTAACAGAATTGGTCTGTCTCTACCACCAAAGAGGGAAGTTATGGGCTCCAATTAAAGCTTGCATGGCTTTAATTACTCCTTTGTTGTAGGTTGTGCTTCTGATCTCTCTCTTAGATATGGCAGGGCAGACTCATGGCATTTAAGGCTCTCTTCTTCCGCAGCTAGGGCATTTCTAAAGGATGCTGAGCAAACCAATCATTACTAACAAAAGACCATGTGCTCATCCCAGAGTACTAATGGAGTGGGTTACCCTCGAA